TAGATTCCAGACTTAACTTTTCTTCATGCTTCAGTCTGCACAGAGCCACTATTTCAGTAGCTAACACACTGCACAGCACTCCAGTAGCCTACCACTATTCAAACAGAAAAACTAAAACCCACAGCGAAAACCCAGCAACAAAATGACAGCATATACAACTCCTCCCATCGCTCAAAAATACTGTCCGCATGTCCACACAACTTGCTAAACAAAATAGGCTGGTCGCTGTTTATGTCAAGTTTGCCAGCAAGGCTGCTATTAAGATAAAAGTAAAAAAAGTAACACAGCTAGAAGACTTACCTATGAAGATTTGTATTCTCCACACCTCAAGAGTGCCAGTACAATGCTTCTTACCGTTCGAGAAGAATTTAATCAATGTAGGTATTTCTATAAACAGTGGGTTAAATGCGTAATGCTAAGAGTGTTTTATGGTCCAATTATGCCTAAATGGACCAATTTATTTTAAACACAGAACTGTGCCACTGGACATTAATAACACTAAGTAGTGGGAAGCTGCTATGAAGAGCAGAAAATCTACAGAGAAAAACAGAGGCAAAACACAGCCAGTATCTTTGACATACACATGATGTAAATCCTGACAAAATGTGGAGCTAGTCTCTACAGTACCTGCATCAACTATTTGGATAACATGCATCTACACTTTTTTGGACAATTAGTGATATTATACCACCTGTAGCTACCTCAGCTACATGCCAGTAATACTTTTGTACAATTATAATATTAAGGCAATCACATAAACCTTCTGCCGTCCATATTAATTTTGCTGTTCACATTACAGCTTTTTTTATTTTTTCATGCTTTACATGAAAAAATACAGGTTAATCAGTGGAGACTAAATGTTTCCTGAGTCTTGGCAGTAACACTTCTCTGGTTTAGGTTTAAGTATCACCCACTGGATGTCTCACAAAGCCACCAAGACTAACAAGCTTACTCTGAATCATTTTTCTAATAGGAAGTTGCCAAGTTTGCACCTTAGCTCATTTAATTTGCTAATGAAACCCAATCTCCCCTCAAAAGGGGAAATACCTTTTTAAAAGGACACAACCATGCGTAGCAGCGTGAGCATGGTAAAAGCATTAACAAAACCCAAACCACCCGTAACTTTATTATAAGAATTAAGCCTAGGATTTTTTGTTTTAAACATTCACAAACTATTAAGAATTTTTACCTGCACATTGCATTATCAAGGTAGAGACAACAGTGTTATTAGAGCTTCTGGTCTACCTCTGCTCCAGATGCTCTACTGAATGCGTGCTACATTAACAAAAACCCATGCCAACGATTCCTCCACCCTCTCCAAATCCCTCGTTCATCTTGACCCAAAAACCAGACAGCCCAACTCACACCACTGTTGGCAGTTCTACATGCTCCAGTGTCATTTTATTTGGTGCTTAAACAAGCAAGAAGCACTTTAACATAGAAAACAGGACAGAATATAGTACTAGACAAACTAGATTCTATTTCACTTGGATCTGATTGTATTGCAGAGTCCAAGGAAGGCAAATACATTTATCTCCTTTACTGTAAAATTATGTACCACTCTTTAAATTGAAGAGAAACTCATGCCAAGTTTCCACTATCTAAAAACCTACAGCAAATAAAGCAAAAAAAGCAAAAAAAGAAAGAGTAAAAAATGCTGCGCTATTTACTAGCACTATGTATTCTCTCACAGAAAAATTTAAAAAATATTATTTCAGACATATTCACAGTTCAAAAGTTATTCCAGCTCTCAAGCACAATGAAAATGTCTGTTATTACAAATGATTGTTCATCCATAGTTCTTCAGCTACTTCCAAAGTTTTCCTGGAACAGTTTAACTGCAATCCATAAGTAATCTGTTAGCAATTGATTTATAAGTAAAATGTGTTGCAGCGCAATTTCGTATCTGTGGTTTCGGGCAATCACTTGAGTGCTTTCAAAATGTGTAACAGAACGACATTTGTCATAGCAGCATTTTTAATGCTGCCTGAGTATTTATATTGAGTGCCCAGAAAAAAGCCAAGCAAATGAAAGAATTTAAGCAACCAGAATTGCAGCTTAATCAAAACTTCCCCTACAATGTAAAATAGTAGAATTTAAGAATGCTTTTCGTCTGAGCCTGGAAAGCCATGAATTGATTTATGCAAGAATCACTTTCAAAGCTATCGGAAGTTGTTTGCTAGAGATTTCTAAGACAGTCCCATCTAAGAGAGTCCCATCATATTTCAATGTCCTATAAACACTTTTTACATTAAAGAGAAATAAAACCAAATAAAAAACTGGTGAAGACACAGATTTATTTTTTGTATTAGGAGGAAGGGCTAGAACAGAAGCTCAGAAGCCTGCAGTTAAAAAGCCCTAGACACCTAGGAAAGCGAAATTCTCCTACTAATGCCATGCAAGAAAAATCAGATCCTTTTTATTGACTTAAAACAGGTTTTTTTTGTGAGTCATAACACAAGCTGCCAAGTGAAATACAGACTTCTTTAAAAATATGAATCAATGAAGCTTCTTCAAACTCAGAGGCTTCCAAAGAGCATTATTACATTTATATTTAAGATTACAAAAAGAACTTGCTCCAGGGAGTTCTGCAGCAGGCTGATGAGCTTTACAGTTAAATCAATTTAACTGAATGCTAAGAGAACATGAATATGGAAATAGCAAGCTGAAAAACGGAGCTATAGGCAATTCACATGAAGGGCAAGCTGCTCAAAGACACTGCCTTGCAGTGTGTCCAAGAAACAAACACAGAACTGCTCTGTGTGGTAGCAAGAATTTCAGCATTATGCTACTGGGGAAGGAGGAGAATAAGGTGTTAAGGAAAAGTTAAGTTTTAGTCTGGTACAATCATTTTGATTAACATCAGATTTCTTGGAATCAAGGTACAAGTTATTAAAATGCAGCACAGCCTGCAGCAGAAAGTGCTGAGTGCCGCTGGGTTGCACTAGATACTACTGCGTGAAACCCATCAACCTGAAAGCAGTACCAGTGTCAACCATCACTGGCACCCAGAATCTCAGAATGCTTCCGCCAGAAGGCAAAGCTGCTTAAGCACTTCTGCTGCATATGCAGCTTTGAATACTGTTACACAGCAGCAGTTGAAGAACAGAGTGTTTTTAAAAAGTCTGAAGTCTAAGGGAGGTTTCAAATAAAAACTTGACTTCCCAGTCATAGAGACCTAGAGCTCTTAGAGCTTGTTCTGGAGCTCCCTCTTGAGGTTAGATACTACACTATATTAAAGGCATTGCTATATCCTCATAACTGATTTTACTCAAAATGAGAGTATGTCCTTGCAAAAGAGATATTATCAGAGGCACCTCCTCAAACCTCTGTACACTACTTTGTAAAGAGCATTAGATGCTTTTGAGTTACAAGCACTGCAATCTTAAAAAGACAGTGAGAAGATAAGTGCATGTTAAACACAGGAGGATAAACTGAAGAGGCACTTTATTTACACACCTTTGGTAGCCAGTGCAGGAGCACCACAGACAGTAAAACCTCTGTTATTGTGAATCATGAAATGGAACAGTACACACTGATGATGAGAAACTAACAATGTTGTCTATTTGTAAAGAAACTAAAACTTCACTAGGTTTATTTAAGGCTGTTAACACATCCCAGTATTTGGGTGACCTTTTAGCTACTCTAATATCTGTCTCCTTGCTAGAGCTACCTTGTTCCACAAAACCCGATGGCATTACTCCACCGTCTTTGTGCCCACAAGCTGCTACATGGGCTGACACCTCTGTTTTTTTACTGTGCTGACTCTGTTTGCCAAAGTTTCGAAAACTCTTTAAACAGGTTCTGCTGAAATTTCACTCTCAAAACCAGTATCTTTCCACAAGCTCTAGAGGGCCCCCACATGGAAGAAGCTTTCAACACATAAATTCCTGAGAATGATTTCTCCAAACTCCTGTTGAGAATTTTTTCCTCTCCCCCAATAGCTAAAGGTTCAAAATCAGATGGCCAAGGAAGTCTTTGGAAGCAGTGCAAGAACCAACAAGCCTTGCCTATGACAGTCATACTTTACTACCGCTGAGCCCCTGCTCAGCACCTTCCTCAGTCCTTCAACAAACATCCATGGTGGCCAGCTGAGTCATCTATGACTACCTCTGCCTCAATACTGTTGAGGCTACCCAATGAGTGGGATGATTTCCATGAGAATCCATAATTGAGAAAAGATTCTTTTCCTTCTAGTCATACTTTTCCAGGGAGGCTTTCCCTGTCATTTCTTTAATCAAAGAAACATTAATCCTTTTCCAGCTCAAGCTGTAAGGTCTACCACACACTGTCAGGGATCAAAGTCACATCATTTTAAATCTTACATCTTATGACAAGGCTTGTAGTTTTAGCAAGCTTTCCTACTTTAGGGCAGAACAGATTTCAACTTGAATGTCTCAGAACAGCAACACAGTTTATTCAGTTGTCCTTAGTGATTAAAATAACACTAAAGAAACACACAAATCTAGACACATGCTAGCTCCTCCCCCTGCATGCCTTGCTGTGCTTGAAATGCAAGCTATTTGTCATTTCATAAACTTAGCCCTTAATGTGATGCATCAGTTCTGAAACAGACTTGCTGTTTTCAGATGCCAGGTTACGGCCAGATCACCTTCTAAAGCAAAAAAAATTTTTTTATTAACCCTATGCTAGAGTATCCCTCCTCTACATTCTGTGAAAGAGAACCAACAACAACAACAAAAAACCCCAAACATACTAGCTAGGATCAGATCTTATTCGATCAGCACAGAAGCTTGTGGAAATTGTGCACAACTCATCAGCTATACCAAGTGCAAGGCTAAAAAGAATGGCTTGAAACTTGGACCTAGAAAGGGTCTCTCTTCTCTACTGACAGAGGGCACTGGCCTAAGAGTTTTAGCTCCCTACAACCAAAAGACATCACAGTAAGCTACCAAAAATACCAGAGCAGGCTGGGAATACATATCATAGCCCACATTAGGTCCTAAGTAATTTTCTAGAAGTTAAAGATGTTTTCTTACTTTTCATGGTGCCCTCCTCCTCTTCCTCTTCTGTGTTTATGACCATTGTACCCAACTGGGATTCCAAAGTGCCATCATGTTCTATCATTGTGTTGGCTCCATCACTCATCGTGTTGACAGCTCTTATGGTACCAGTTTCATCTCCGCTCGCCCTCACCATGGTACCTGAATCGGTTTCATCTTCTTCCTGTATAAGGATGCCGTAAATATATTTTTACTGATGGTGGTGAAGTCCTATGAAGAGTAGCTGTATTCAAGTACACTAGCAAGTCTTACTAATTCAGAGATTTTTACAAATACACATAAAAGCCAACAACATTTTGTTTTATGCACTTAGTTCTCTCCCTGTCATCTCCAAGCAGGTAATGAAAAGTCTTTATACTTTTCTGCCAGCATTATAAATAAGAGAACAAATAAATAATCAACAGAAGCTTCTGAACTCAATGTGTATCTCATTTCTGACCTGGTGACCTGTTGATTACAATTACAAAGAGTTGATTACAATACTCATTCAGTCAGTAGTGTTTCTATTCATGCTGCCAGTTTTAACAGTTGACCTAAACCCCTACATCAAATGGTACGGTTCACTGAGGAGTCATTAGTTACCAGACAGCAACAGGTCTAAGTCTAGAGTACATGTGGCACACTGAAGAAAAATGAGCACCCTATTTTTTAGGGGTCTGTCTTTAACATTTAGGTAGTTTTACTTACTTCAGAAGCACTAAAGAAAAATTAACTGAATTTGCAAATCTTTAAAAAGGAAAGAAATAAATTATCAAAGTCTAGTCATTTTTTCAGATGAAAATTGTTTCTCATCTTTTCATTTGTTAACAGGTATTAATATTATAGAAGTTTGAATTTTTGCTGTCAAGGCTCAAGAGGCTGGCTCTGTAGGAAAACACAAGCTCCTGAAACAAATTTTGATAGGACAACTTCCTGGCAGATAGTTACATTAGCCAGAGGTAGTAGTTCCATTAGGTGGTGTGTGCTTCACTAAGTAAATATTGTGACTAGGATTTCATGAAGAACAAGGTCAAAATTCCCACAATCAGTTCAGTGTCTTGGAAATGTGGACCACGTATGCAGCTGCAACAGAAGCCACTTCCTAGGTTTACAGTAGAGTTTCTAGGCATCTCACATTGGATGAGATGCTCGTGTTTTGTTCTAAGGATGAAGTTCACAGTTCTTTGTAAGTGTGACCATGGGCTTACTGATCTGTAGTAGTGCTAGAGGGAAAACACAGGTCTCGCACATCAAGCTGTATAACTCCATCTCAATGTCATTTAAAGAAAGAAGTATGCTTCTCCATGTTCTGGTGTTCCATGCATTCTATCTGTTCTGTCAAGGGTGATATAATTTACTTCCCAACCTCAAAAACAGTAACAAGAGGAGGAGAAAACTACACGAGATGTTAATGGAGGAAAAGTAATTTTATGTGGAGATGAGTGGGTGAGAGAAGTAATAAATTTATTAGCTACATGTCATTTAACGAAGGACTACAGCAAAAATTTCCACAGCACTTGGGAAGTGCTTGGGAACACTTTTCTGCTAGCAGACACGAGTAGAGAAGCTTTGGGAAAACACACACACCCCCCAATGGCAACCACTCAACTCCACTGCACAGACACCATCTCTCAGCAATGTGACTCCAGATCAGTCAGAAATGAAGGGGAGAGGCTAGGGACAATACTCTTAGAGTCAACATCATAGCAACATGACCAATAAAGCTACTTCCACACTGAACAAACAGGCAGTCCTAAATTGGAATACTAGATGAACAATGTCTTCAGCATAGATACTGCAGGCCATGCTATTCAAGTCTAACCTCTGAAAGGACTCTGGCATACAGTGCCTTTTGCTGCCAGTTTCATTTATTCAGGTTGAAGCAGGCAGAGGCTCAAAAAAGAGCTTTCAACATGCTTTCCATATTTGCATGCTGTAACCACTGAAACAAGGAGCCCGAACTTAAATTCACAGCAATCCGCTGGACACTTGTCATGCCCTCACCTCAGGTTTCTGTCGGTTGCTCTTGTGTAGTAGAAAGTTTCTATAAGGGGGATTCTAAAGCACAACAATAGTAAAACAACATAATGTACTTATATCATAGTGCGTCACAGATGATACTATTATTTTATACTAGGAGAGCAGTCTAAGAACTAAATCTACAATGAAAAATTCTCATTACTGCACAAATAATATAATTCAACTGGGAAAATGTATCAAGTCTTTTGCATACACTACTTTGTAGACCGATTCAATCACAGGTCTGTAGCTACACTCTAAGCTAAACAGTAAGCCATACATGCTGGCTATTCCACTCAAATATGAAGATTGAGCAGAGACCAAGCATTGGGTTAAGCAGTCATAAAGCAGAAAACTTGAGAACTAAGTCAAATCCACGGGCAATTTGACAAAATATTGCAAAACCAAAAATGAAAGCACCTAAGCCTTATGAAAGGTGCAAGAGTTTGGGCTTCGTACGCTGTTGCTATTAAATACTCACAGAGTTTTCTTCATCATCTTGATCTAGCTCACGCTGTTGCGCCTCCTGACGTTTCAGTTTGATATCCATTGCTTCATTAATCAAGTCTCGCAGAATTGACACTCCTTTGGCACTTTTAACAAATGGATGCTGAGAAGTATTTGGAAAAAAATTATTTGGGTTTTTTTTGTTTGGACCGCATCCAAACCAAGATATAACAGTACAACAGTTACTGTGGCCTACTTCCAATCAAAATTAAGATTTAACTCAATACATTACTAAAATAAAAATCTAGCACTTCTGTCTGGCACAGGAGGGAGACCTCCCACTGTCCAAACATGCTCCAAAGGCACTACTGCTGTGAGACCTTGGGCTCATTCCCCTCCCACAACTCTACTTATTTCTTTCCTTAGCAGCTTAGCAGTCAAGAACCAATTACACAGATCATCACCATGCCTAGACCATTCTGAGCAACCAATTTCATTTAGCCTCCCTTTTTAGTGTTTTAAGAGACAGTTTACTGGCAGTGCTGGTGAGAATTTGAAAGTTTAAAAAAAAAAAAACCCAAGAAAACCTCCAAAAGCTAAACAAACAAACAAAAAACCCAGAGAAGACAAAGACAGGATGTTGAAGTTAGATTGGTTCTTAGAGAAGAACTGAAAAGTTGAAGTTGATTGTAGGATTTCTAAAATGAGATATTAAAAAGTAAAACCTGTAGTGAGCAGGAGCGGCAAGAAATGAAACCAACATCTCAACAGACATGCAGCACTGTCTGCCCCAGCAAGCCTCCTCTAGAGCTTATGTTCTTGTAAGAAAAGGCAGACCTGCAGAAGCTGTGTTGCAGTGGCACGTTGCTCCGGGCTCTTAACAAGACACTGTTTTACAAAGTCTGTAAAATTGTCTGACCAGAGCTCTGGTTTCCGGAATGTTGGAGGTGGATTGGTAGGAATCATGAAAATTGCCTGAAAACAGAAGAATATTCCAGATTTCCAAACAAAGTTTAAAGATTTCCAATAACACAACATAAATACACACAAACATACACACTATAGACATTTCAAGTTTGCTGCTTCTGAAGAGTTTATGCCAAATCTTACAAATTTGCTCAGAGGGATGAAGTAGCAAGAAATCAGACTCTTCTCACCAGATGCTCACACCTCTGAGCCATTATATGCTCCTAAAGGTGTCAATATGCCATTTTTAAGTCTTAAAAATTTGTGCTTGCATTAAAAAAAAAGATTACTTTGCATAATAGAGCTGAAAATGTTTCTTCACACTCAACATAGGGAGCTATGTCTTAATAGAAGAGGATCATGATTTTCCTTCCCATGCAGATTCTCCTTCTCAAAGACCTGTTTTTCATTTAATCAGCAGTACAAAGAACTGACAGAAAACAAATCATTTACTCTAAATTAAAAGCAAGATGGTATGTTGATACATTATTCAGCCAGCTATAATAGCAAATCCCTTCCATACAGCAATACATTTTAAAAGGCCACAATCCATACCCTCATAGGATGAATATCTGCATATGGTGGCTTGCCTTCAGCCATTTCTATTGCAGTGATTCCCAGAGACCAGATGTCTGCAACACAATTATACCCAATTTCTTGAATCACTTCTGGAGCCATCCAAAATGGGGTCCCTATAACTGTGTTCCGCTTTGCCATGGTGTCCTGAGAAGAAGAGCAGGACAAAGATCCAGACAATAGCAATTGTATTAGCCACAAACATTCATTAATGCATTATCACCCTAATTATCTTTCACTTGCACACATACATGTTATTAGATTCAACAAGACTGGGATACTAACGGCTGCAAAGAAGAATTGAAATGTGCTTACAGCAGTTACAAATATCCTGAAGAAAACAGCAAATGCTATTGCAAACCATTACTTAGGTATAGCAGCTTCCACAGAGGAAGCTCTGCTCTAAACAGTGGCTGGTTTAGCATCTCATTATGTTGATGTAAAGTGCTAAAAACCAGTTTAGAACAATTTCTCAAAGTCTTCACAAGCACGTCATACTTGCATGCAGGTTAAAAAGATAAGCTGAAGTGTACACAACGATCTTGGGTTTACTTACTGTAAGTTGTCCTGCCACTCCAAAATCTGCAAGTTTAGCATGTCCCTCTGTATTTAGCAATATATTTCCAGCCTTGATGTCCCTGTGTATTTTCCTCATAAAATGCAGGTACTCTAGTCCTTTCAGTGTTGATTGCACTATTGTAGCAATTTCCTCCTCTGTGAGCTAAAGAAAAGAAGAGTTACTGCCAACCTGTCAGGTGCTGAGATGTAACACTATTGTGTTTCAGTCTATGTTTTCCTGAGATTCACTAATTGCCATTTAATTGCCTTCACCAAAGGTTGCCATACTAATGGGGAAATTAGCTAGCGACTTAGAGCATTATGTAGTAGAATTAGATTACAACCAGCATACACATACATATGTACCATATTTCACATACCCTAACCCTTTCTCAACTAGTAATTCTTATCCTGCAATAACCAAAGTAAGGCAAAGTAGAGCCTTATTCAGAATTGGTCTGGGTTTTCAGGAAAGCCAACAAATCAAAATCTGCTCCACTGATTGCATTATCCAGATAACCAAAACTCAATCAGTGTAATCAGCTTACCCATTTTCAGAGGAACAAAGGACCTGCATCTGAAGTTATGGCCAATGGTTGTGTCAGGCATTGAACACAATGGGAATCATGCCCAAACACCAATGCACAAACTACTCAGCTTCCTTGAGCTGCTGAACACCCATATTTCCCATTCATACATTCAAAGCAGAAAAGACATACAGTTTTATTTCGTAATCGAATAATATCAGACACAGATCCAGCGCCGCAGTATTCCATGACTATCCACAGGTCTGTGTTCTTAAAATAGCTGCCATAATATTTCACCACATGAGGACTGTGAAATGTGAAAAAAGGAGAAGAAAACAAAGGGTCAGATACCAGTAACCAGCATAACTGAATAACCAAAATACACTGCAGAGTCCCTAAGTATGTTTTAGAAATTCAGAGTTGAAGTGCCATTGAAACTCTGATCAAAAGTATTCCAAAACAATCTAAACTTGCACAGGGCTACTGCAGTCCTGCCAAGCCTCTTCCCCACAGCGGTACTCATCTGACATGCCAATAAATCAGTTCAGAGAGCTGAACTGCCTGAAAATAAATCCTATGGAAATAAGGAGCGATTAGTCTTCAATCTGGTTTAGCTCTCTGAACCGGATGACAACAAGGTCAGTGCTATGGCAAGCAAAAAGGCAGGACAAGGGGATGAGAAACAGACCATGGCAGTCCCTGGTAAAGTTGCTGCAGAGCATTTGCAACCAAATAGAAACATTAAATAAGACCCCAAGGTTGCTGGAAAATAGCTATTGTTCATTAAGAGGAATGTTCCCCCACTACCACATGCACCTACTTATTTCTACAATTTAGTCCAGGATGTATTTTAGGAGTCAGGTACAACCTAAGACTGTCTCTCACAGTCAGCTATCTGGCTGCCCCAAAAGCAAACAACCTAGTACAGTATACTGATCAGAATAACCATCTGTCCTCTGGAAAAGGTAAAGCAGAAAACTAACAGAAAGACTGCTCCTTATTTTGTGGGAACGGAGCTAAGGACCAAAAGTGCACTTAATCTAGTCTCTGCTGAGTATTTTCTAATGAAAAAACTGTAAAACTAGTAAGTCAGTCACACCGCACAATGTCCCTTAATGCTTGCACAGAAAATGTGATGCTCCAGTGATTCACTCCCTCTGCTGTTCATAACTGTAAGGTCTCATTTTAGGCCTTACAATATTAATGTTTCATTTCTTTTTAGGAAAGAGACACCCAGTAATGCTTTACAAGTTACACAGTAAGATTTTTCATGAACAAATTATTTTAAAGTTACATTTTGTTGTCTGCCACCAGTCACCTTCATTTAAAGATAGTGAGAATAAAGTGCATAGAGTAAGTGACTGGGACCATAGTTTTATATTACTAATGTAATTTATTTTAAATGGTTTTCCATGCCTGAAGTCCATAAAGTAGTGTTTCTTAAGGCTAAATTCATAACACCAGAAGAAATTGGTACACTGTAAAGTTTCAGCCTAGGACACACTTGAGATAAGGTCTTCTGCAACCATGAGCTCTTCATTAGCTAAGTTAGTACATCTTTTCCCATAAGAAACATGCAAAGACAACCCAGAGAGCCAACCATCAACCCACAGAGCTGCCAGCAAGTTATTCTGGGGATGCTCAGATCAGCAGACAGCTTGTACTGCACTAGAACCTGCACAGGCAGAAAATGGCTGGGAAGGACAATTCTGCCACCCAAGCAGATGACAGCATGTAGATTATGCACATGCAAGAGCAGTCATGCATTAGTGGCTCTCATCCACATGCTCCTTAAAAACAAACAAAAAACCCTCTTTAACAGTTTTCTATGTCCATAACCAAAACTTGTTTAGAATTCATTACCCCTTTGGACATGGGAACTGCTGTTCTAGCATACAGTCAAGTTACCACTGTTCAACAAGTGATTGGTGTGTGGGGAGAACCACAGTAACTGCTCACACGCTTGGCTCTTTGCTGGCAGCAAGTGCATGGTTATTCAACTTAGCTTAATGCTCTCTTGTTGCAAGCTAAATTTTTGTTGTCTTACCTTTGCTTGGATTAACACTACCCAAATGGTCAGTTAACAGTTGATACGAGGTAACTTGATGGTACAAGTCCAGCCTTTTAAAAAACATTTAAGGCAACATCATGGCTTTTATTTGATTAAACGCCAGATCACAGACAATACTTTTCTTTACATACTGATAATGGATTTTGCAGTATACATTTACCTGTCACATTGCTGCATTATAGATATTTCCTTTATAATCTCCTGCAGGTCAGATTCCACAGGAACTTGTTTAATTGCAACAACTTGACCTGTTTCTTTATGAATGGCTTTGAACACACTGCCATAGGAACTATGAAACAAAATATTAAACAAACACTGAATACAATAACATTTTAAAAATGCAAATGTTATGGTTTTGCTTTTTGCAAGTGCAGTCATCAGGTAAAAAATTAACTATCCTTCTGCTAAAAATATCTTTTATTTTAATGTAAATAATCAGTCCACTAGCTTCTAAACACTATAATAATACAAAATAGTCACAGCACACTAAGACGGTCAGAAAGGAGCCAAACATCATTACACTGCCCATAGCTTTGGAAGGGCCTCCAACAAATAAAATTCTTTCTCCAGCATACAGTACCAGCTGAGCATCAGTAAGAACTACAGCTCTGGTCAGAGAGGGTTGCTTGTTCTTGTCAGATATTATCTGTCTTATTTCCAGTTTCTTTACTTACAGCAGCCAGGCAGATTTACAATCAGTTTTTTCAAATAAACTGCTTAAGAAGGCAAACATGTCACTCACTGAGCATTCCCATGCTGCTTTGCCTTACCAAATGGCACAATGCAACAGAAGTCCATTTCCACCACACGGATCTTCCACAAGAGGTATCAGGGATGAACTACACCACCTCTTGAGTTCCCACAGAGCCCTGTCAACTCCAGATTGGCATTTTTCAACAATGTTTTAACTCCCTACTGCTGAGGCGTAAACTAGTGTTTGGATTAAGATATCTTACTCTTGGGAAACAAAGTCTTTATTCTGTTACTAACCAAACACTGTCACTATGCTAGAACATACCTTTGCAGTAATAGGATCATGACAAAAGTGAAAAATCAGAGCCCACTGAATCCATTGCATAGATTTGTTCTTAGAGAAATGTATATTGGGCATGCTGGAATAGAACACATACCCTTCTCCAAGCTTCTCCAATACATCAAATACTTCTTCGGGTTGTTTGGTTAAACTGTCTTCATCTAACTTCTTAAGCTGCCTGTATATGTAAGAATAGAGAAATTATTACATTTAATTTAACGGCAGTTTGGGCTTCATTGAAACAAAAGAATAAATAGCACTGCTTAAATGTACGCAAGGCTTAGCATGAATTGATTATGAAATTGATTATGAAGTAAGTTTATTTCACCTCACTAGAGACTGAATATTACTAGCATCCGGTAGCAAAAGAGGACTGGGAATTACAGAGAACAGAATTTGATCAGGCACACAAATCTACAGTTCCTCTTGGTGGTAACACATCTCAGGATCTGTACACTGGTGGTCAAATCCCAACACAGCACTGCAGTCTTGCAGCTATTGAACACATCTGCTAAAGTTCAATATCTTGAATGCAAGGATATGTACTAAGGCCATGCAAAAGGGAAAATCATCTTCCCCAATGCCTCAGCGTATGTGTGGAATACATCTCTTGGGAGAAAGGAGGCAATACTGATCTCACCTGTACATTTTTAACATCAGAAGTTCAGATCTTAACTTTGTGGGCCTGGACATATACTAGGAAAATTCTATCAGGAAAAAAAAAAGGAAAGGAAACATGTATCTGACTCTCTCAGGATCTTAATGTCACTTGGTCCACCCTTCTTAAGTGCATTGCAAGTAAGAGTCAGCTGAAATACTTCCTAGGGAAAAAAACCCATGCTATGTACAGTGACCCATCACTTAGATCCCCTCATCCCCAGTACAACTTTTGTGGTGATTCCGTACACAAAGCAACAAGATCAAACACATTTGTTTCAGTCCACCTTTACCACACAAGAGAGCTGTTCACCAAGAAACTTCCTGAAACAGCTAAGGACTACATAAAAAAAGTTCTGAAGTATTTTATTGTCGAACAAACAGTATCCAATAGCCCACAAACAAGTGCTCTTTCATTTTCACACGAACTAAAAAAAAAAAGAAACACCAAAAACCTGAAACAACAAAAAAAGGACACAAAACCCACCCAAACAAAAAAACCCCAAACTCCCCAAACTAGCTCATACAAGTTTTTGAAACACAGAAACTTATTAGTCTCAGAGTTTTCAGAACTTACTGGTCTCACAGCAAGCAGTGTTTAAAATGAAACGTGCGTGGTCACCTACAAGTGCAAATTAGTACTGAAAGCTCTTACTACTGCTGTTAAAGATCATGACTCCAGCCACAGGCATGCTAATTTTTATACTAAATATATATTTTTTCCCCAATTTCTTCAGAAACAGAGTGAGAAACCACTCATCGATCCCCAGCCATTATGTTTATGCACAAAAGCCATATAGGAAGAGCAGCTCACGCATGGACTACATACAATGGCTTCCTGAAGCAAAGGAAACATTATAAAGAAGCAGACTCAGGAAGTGGTGAAATACTGAAAGTAGTCACTAGCTTCCCTGCAAAGATAAGTGTCAACCAACAGAATGTTGCTTGTCCTTGTGAAAACAGGGAGCAAGGAAGGTGTGGGAAGAGGAGAAAAGGGGTGGGGGGGTAGTATCAGTGACCACACAAGCTGCCATTTCCAAGGAGCCCAAAAGCGCCAATGCAAGAGGCAGATTCTTTTTGCTGAAGTTGACACCTAAATCCTGCTTTGAAAAAAAAAAAAAAAAAGTGCTTTTCATATACCCAAACACAATAACCAGACAACTACTGTGCTTACATCAAACTACGTCTGTTCGGCTACAGCCCAGGAGCACAATTACTTTGCACTGTCCAGTTCATCCAGCACACTCGCTGCTGTCAAAGACACACTCTGCCTTCTTACTGTTTGTTTATACAACGTGGATAGAAGAGCAACACAAAACCAATCTCACCTAAATTCTTATTCAGATCTAATCTGAATCACCTTCCGGTTAATCACTGGCATAAGCAATTATAGAATAAAAAGAGACTTTTTTTTGATAGAAGATACGTTGCTGTTTTGTTTAATAAAAAAAGACTGTCACTGAAGACCAGAGCTGGCAGTTTCCTTTGTTCACTGCCGAAAGCGTTCCCTGGGACCCAGCTGCAAACCGCTGATAGCACTTTGACAGGCTGACACTTCATTCAAACTGCTGCTGATGTCCAAATCACTCCCTCCGCAGTCTTGCTCCGTTGCGGCCTGGCGTTCAGAGATAGCTGGCTCACGTCTTCGTTTGGAGGTTGCCCCGAAAGCCCTCGATGAGCCGGGCTCGCACCTCGGCTGCCTC